GTCGTCAGAGGGGCAGACCACCACTGCCTTGCGCTGGAAACCTGCAAACAAGCACATCTTCCTCTTCTGGCCTGGGGCAGACAGGTTGGTCTGGGGGAGAGGAGAAAGAGGCTCAATTATGTTCTGATTTATAGCGCTTGATGTTCAAGGAAATTTTCCTACCATTATACAAAGAATACAATGAAATAACTTGTATACATAGCCATACAATTGTGATAAACACTGATCAAATTCAGTGCCAGCCACTTACATGATCCAGGATGTAGTTCCTCTTCTTGCGGGCAGCAATCTCAATAAACTTTCCCAAGAAAAGTGGTGCTCGCTGGGAAATGGCAGTTAGCTTTGTGATATCCTTTGACTGGCGTTTCAGGCTGTTGATCTGTATTGAATAATGGAATGAAGACATGACATTAAANNNNAAAACAATAGTAAGACAGACTGTAAGACTAAACCACACAGCTGTATCAGTACTGACCATCATCTTGTCCACAATGGTGTCACTGCCTAGGATGTAGTATTTTCCAGGGTTCTCCTGGACATGGTTCTTCACCCATGTAGTCTTCCCTGAGCCAGGCAGGCCAACCATCACTATGATCTACACAACATGAAAAGCAAGGACAAAATTATGATCCAAAAAGTACTTTAAAAACACTGAATGAAGAATACTGCACGACTAAGAGTATCTACACATTACTATGCTTACCTCGCAGTCAGCCTTTGTCTGTGGCCCCTTGAGCCCCCGGACTCTGTCACTCACGGGGATCTGCTGCAGGAAGGTGTAGCCCTGGGGCTGAGGGAAGTACGGAGTCTCCATCTGGCCGAAGTTGAACTCCACAGCACAATTGTGGCAGATGATGTGGGGGAAGAGGGCCTGGCTGTTCAGAGAGTCCTTGCTGACCTGGAAAGCGATGGCCGGCTCCCCGCCATTCTTGGAGAAGGACAACACCACCTCCTCGCCCTCAAAGTCCTGCGCAAAGAAAGCAAGACGCAAAGTTGTTTGTCTGATAAAACAAAAATGTCATTCAAACCACTTTTTAAAAGAAAACAGGTGGCAGATAGTCATTTGTGAATTCTTTCATATCGACATTGATAAAATATCCGATGAGGTTAGTCTCATTTCTGATATATATTAAGTAATGGAGCAATATGTAGTTAACATTCTACAGAGAACTATCCCGTAAGCATCTGAGCCATTCTAATTGGCTTTGTTTTCATTTACGTTAATGAACTGATATACAAGCAGCATTTGTGTCTTACAATAAGGCAGCAGATGACATCATTCTCCTCATAGGTTTCTCCAAAGTCCTCAGTCACGCAGTTGGTAGTCTTTTTGCCTTTTCCAGAGTATGCATAAGAATGTTCCTCCTCACCTAAACATTAATGGGAGAACACATTAATTGACCGAAAAACATTTTAAAACATCATGTCTCAGTCACTGTGAGTCCTAAATGGTTCTGTTGGCAACAGGACATCCACCATTACTATGATGAGGCTAGAGCTGGAACCATTTTATATTAACATGTCATGCTGCTTATGAACCACTAGAGGGACGTCTTGGGACAGAGTGTCTTTCCTAGAGGATCACAGCAGCCTCTGTTTTTACTGTCATCTTATTTGGCTGACCATGCAAAAAACAAGACTGGTAGTTTGTTTCGTTACATGTTTGTAGACAAGGTTCACTTAAAACGACCAATTAAAGCAAAGCATTGTAAAGTCCATTCAAAAACATATAGTATTTTGAGCCCTTCAGAATTCTGCATGGAGGAATCATAGCAAATGGCCGGGTCACCATTTTGTGTATCAAAGAGATAATGATAGTGTTTAGGCCATTATAGACATAAAGGCGCAAACATTTTCTGTACACAGCATGTGTTATGTGACCAAGTAGAAAGTTTTCTGGCCAGGAGTGGAACAAATGTTGCCAAGTGTAAACGGAAAGTTCCAGCTGGACTCAACGCTTCATTCCACTGATACTGAATGCCTGAATGACACAGCCAGTGTAATATACAGACGCCTGTAGAGCTAGAGCATACATAAAGACACTGACCAAGGAGCAGGGTGCCAGTAGACAGGGACCAGCCGACTTGCACATCATGAATCTCCATGTTCTTGCTGGAAATGTGCTTCACAGGAATTTTCTCTGTAATCTGTTGACATGAAGCAAAACATGTGAATGAAATATCAGGAGTCATTTCCATTCCAATTTGTGTCTTAATTTGACCATTTTACACCTTGTTTGTAAACGCTCTTTAAAGTTTAGGTATAGAAGTGCAGTGCAAAGGGAAAATGTGAATTCTTTTAAAGTGCACAGCAAGTCAACATAGTCACATACCTTCATCTCAAAGCAGGCTTTGCCTTTGTTCACACCGTAGGTGGCCTTGCCTCCGGACCACAGGTAAGCAAAACTCTCCATTGTGAGAGACGAGGCACTGTAACGGTCCCGTGACACCTTAAAGTGCAGGTCGCAGTTGTCTAGAGCACACAGAAAAAAAAGTTATCGACATCTGTATCCATACAGAAAGGTCTCTCATAAACAATGTGTGGTTAATGTTCTAACTAGCCGTCATTTAAGTCTTCTTACCATTACAATTTTTAATTATTTTTAAAAAGGTTATTTCACATCAAAATCACTTACAGGCATCCAGGCAGACTTTTGTGTCATCAAACTCCTCATCTTCTTCCTCCAGAGGGGGCACAGGAGACTTAAATGAGGCCCTGAAAAGAGATACCAATTGTCAATGCAACCGCATGGAACATATAGACGCTTTGGATACCACTTCCTGAAAAATATTTAGGGAAAGAAGTAGAAAGACAACTAGGGGAAACAATACAAAATAGAGACAGTAAATTTGGCAGGCGGCCTCCAAACAAAAGTCATCTGTATTGTGGGCCGTGGCAGACAACACTTACCTTGCAGTATCCAGCGAAATCTAAAACGTGAGAGATACATAGAAAAGAAAGCACCTCCGCTAGCTTTAACATGCAAGACTATCCATTGGTGAAAGTGATCAAATGAAAGCAGACCTCTCCCCCTTTGAGATCAGTGTGTTTATGATCTCCAGGACTGCGTCAAAAGCGATGGCGGGAGGAGTTATATTTAACTCCCCATGTGTGGAATTCTAAATGAAAAGGTCATGACTAACACTGTTCTGTGTAACTGTAACTATGCAGTACAAGTTGGCACCATGCTTGGCTGCTTGACATGAGCAATCACAGTGTACTGGGAGCTACAGCAACTTACCAACTCTGTAGCTTGAGATTAGGTACCTAAAATCTCTTATTGGGGAAGTTTAAGAAACTACTCAAAAATGTTGTGAAGAAGGCAAACATTCCATGGATGCTTAAGCATCGTTCAACCTGAAGCAAGGATCCAAGTCCAGTGGAGCAGGGTTATTCTTTAGTACGAAGATTGGGGTTAAACATCCTATTCTCAGCAGTATTAACGTCTCCAGATGCTGCTCTACAGGCCTGTGGCTGCCCAGGGGCGACTGGTTTAACATTGGGTAGATTTTAAGCTCTATTGTTGGAGAAAATTTTGGAAGTTGGAAACAAATGGTTGCTTGCACAAAAAATTAAATAAAAATTGGCTGTCTGATTATAGGGGGGAGGAAGGACCCAAAAAAGGGCAGCAAAACTATGTTTCAACAATTCTGGTTCCCCCGAAAATCCACGAAGTGTCCCAGACTTTTCCCAAAATATATATAGTAAAAAAATGTTGTCTGAATAAAAAAAAAAAAAAAAAAAGCGATTTCCTTTTTCTGCCACTTAATTCCTTACCGTGTCTCAACAGCGCAATGAAAATAAAACACTGACCGTAAGTAGGTACACGTATGCACACATACACTCAAACACCCATGCACACCATGCGTGATGCCACCTGCGTATGGGTAGAACAGATCCTTGCAAACACACATCCACACTCACCATGAGAACATACACACGAGACTGAAATAGCATTTTGACGTCATACAACCAAACAAAAGAACAGAAAATAATTTAAAAAAAATAAATAAAATAAATAAAAAAAGACCATTGCGAGGGAAAAACGATGGACGGTCAATTGCGAGCTCCTCCGTGGACGTTCCAAACACTTTGGGAATTTTGCTACATCCATGTGTGCTACCCTGCAGCAGTGGACCCTTCCTCCTGCGCCTCTTAGCTATTCCTTCTGACCTTCTCACCCTCCCTCCCTCCCTCCCTCCATTCAAAAGTGCACATCTGCTACTTTCCTCTGGGTTTGTTCTCTTTGAGCAGCCTTGTTTCACCTTGAAGAGACAATGGGCTTTCCAAAACAATAAGTGGCATGAGTAACAAATGTGGAAATTCATAGAGACTTGATAGTTGCACTTCTGCTACAGAATGCAGTTCATTAAAGACACAAATGTGAGCGGGCACTGTAAAAGGTAAATGGTAAGGCTCTTTAAGTAGTCAGAGATGACCCTCAAAACATGTGTGAAAGTAAGGTTATTAATAAATAGAATACTTGAAAATGAGGGTATTACTCTTGCTAGTTATATGTGCATTGGCACTTAAAGCCAATACAGTTTAACAAAGCTATGGATGGCGCTTCAGGGATGCTGAAGGCCATTTTTGCTCTGTCCCATCCTTACCAGCTGTATTTGTTCTCTTCAATAAATTCAAAGTAGCCCCTTCCATGTTCCTCCCGGCGTCTCTTAACACCCTTCTTATTCTTCTGATCAGCATTCGTGTCTTTGTCCGCATCCCCTTTGAAAATAGAACAAAGATATAGAATGAGGTGCTCCTTTTGGTGTGAGAGAGGTCGGACTGGCAGTGGGGTTCTGGCCCACAAAGCCCGTTCATTAGTTACATACTGTCGACCATAATCATCAATATTAAGTTAACTGGGAGGTAACACCTCATGATTACACTTGAACAACACAATCATACTGCATAAATTGTTAACAGCCCTAATGACCAGATAGTAATTACAATGCAAGCTGGTCCAAATGAACATTGTGAACAGTGTTTGCTGGGGCTGGAAAAAACAAGTCTCTGCAAAGTAAAGGGACATTAACCCTGCAATAAAAGGGCTTAGAATATCCTGTTTTATATAAAATTCAGATTGAAGTCTATTTCAATAAGAGGACAAGTCTACTGTGGTCTGGGACAAATGCATCATGCAAGGAAATGGGAAAACCTACATAGACCTTAACTGACCCCCCCCTCCCCCATATC